GGAAATCTTTGAAGTTTACGAGGTGGGGAGGACTATTCTATATTTCGTTCCTTTCTGTTTCCACCTCTCTTTTTTTTTTTCTTGGTTGCCCTTTTAAATATCACTGAAGACAAAAGAATAAAAAACCCATAAATGCCATCCCAAATAGGGCGCTGTAGAGTCCCTGTTGCTACCAACGGACTTTATGGAAGCTGGAGTTCTGTTGTCAGTCCCTTGGGTTTCTCTGAAGACTTTCTCCCAATTGTGGGTATTTTTAACTCCTCATATCATTGAGATGCTGTGGAAGTCATTTGTCTAAGTGACAAGGGAGTTTATAAACACGAAAGGCGTGCTGTGCCCAATCTTTTTGAGAGCTGATGCTTGTGGAAAATTGCTCAGAAGAAATCAAAATGCCTTCTGCTTTGCTGACAAAAGCCCTGGAGCCATACCGTATGATCCAGCCGCTCATAACAAGCCTTCTCCTCTCACAAATTTCAAAATACTTTTTGCAAAACAGCGATTCGTTTGTAGTTAAGATACCTCACCTTCAGCTTCACGCTGGGGCCAAAAGTTTCCTTTTTTTAAAAAAAATTACCCTGTACAATCTCTTTCCCTTTTTCCAAAACCTGCAAGTGACTATTATTCTTGTCTTTGAACAACTCCCACCTCCATTTGGCCAATGACAAGGAGTTCTACCAAGACCAGAATGCAGAAATGAGCAATGAAAACTTGTTGGGTTCTCACAAGACATTGTGAGGGTTCTTGGAAGTAATTTGCCTTTGTCTCCTTCTTCCTAGGGCTGAGAGAGAGGGACTGGCCCAAGGTCACCCAACTGGCTTTGGGCCTAAGATAGGACTAGAACTTGCAGTCTCTTGGTTTCTAGCTTGATGCCTTAACCACTACACCAAACTTTATTTACAAATAGGTAAATGGAAGCTTGACAAGGGAGAAACCCAACTTACGATTGTTCACCAGGTGAAATGGGGTGGGGTAATGATGAAGCCCGGATTCAAACTTCCACGCAGCTTTGAAAGATATCCAGATAGTAACTTCTCTATCTGTTACTATAGCTGAAGATCCTGTTACAGGTTTCATTCACCAAGAGAGGCTAGCCTAATGGGGAATCCAATCAGATCTTTCCTCTAGCAGTGCTCTTACTTTGTAGAAGTCCATTAGAGAGATTAAATTACTGTCTTTCAGAAGAGCAGCAAAAGAAGTTTATTACATCCAACTGTCTAGGTTTGCATGAGACTCAGATGGAACCAGTTATAAAAACCTATCAACAGCATTTCTACAGCACACTAAACTTAATTTTAACTTTGAACCTAGATCAGTTAAAGGTCACTTTCAGGACATCCCCTTTCATTCCTCTCCCATCATACCCAATCGACATTCTTATGGGTCAGAAGGCTATGAATGTTTGTGGAACCAAGATAACAGCCACCAATAACTAAGACTTGAGAATGGCTGCATCTTCCTCTTCCTGATATCGTTGAGATGATGTTTAATTATTGGCAGATTCTTTGGAGCCTACTCTACTGAATAGCCACAAACAGATGAATAATTAGCTAACTATTATGACTCACATTTCAGTTGATTGTGGGATGGAGTGAGTGTTCCTGGTTGCTAGATTATTTATGTTTATCATTATTGGTGGTGTTTTTATTCTGTCGACCGCCCAAAGTCACCTGTATGAGATGGGAGGCGTCTACATTTTTTAAATAAATAAATGCAGCAATGTTGGTGAGCGCTACTATTAAGTTGCACCACTTTCCAATACAAGGATTCTTTATAACCAGATGTAAATTTACTGGCTCTACCGATGTCTGCTGAAGTAAAAAGTACAGTACACTCCATGGTCATAATTGGTGATGATGTTATGGAGATGTAGACCTAGGCAGGTGACTCCATTCCCCAAATTTCCCAATTTATATTTCACATCCTTTGGCACTGGTGTCCTATCTACTTATAATTCGTCGTTGCAATTGTGAAGAGTTTCATCTACTAACTGGACACATCTGAAGTCCCCCCTCAATGGAAACAAAAGCTTTGGAAATTGGTGGTTATCTTGTCTCCCCACCTGACCCTAAATGGCATGGGATTCTAAATGTAGGCAAAGATAGTTGCTATTTTCCTGCCGTATTATGGAATGTTGTGATATGTTAATAAAGCAGATATGAGAATCTTACGAATTCATCTGCGAGACAGCTGGGAAAAAACATGGATGACTACTACAGGACAGGAAAGATTGAGAAATTTCTCTAACTCTTTGCTGGCCTTTAGTGGTTATCTGAATAATGGCAGACTAGACACAGTAGCCCTAAGCAAGGCAGCTTAGAGTTGACAGTATCAAGGACTATAAATAATGTAGTCTTAGTAGAGCAGGTGGTAGACAGTCCTTTGAAAATCACAGCCAAGAACTGAGACTGCGAGGACTTTCAGAAAATAGAAGTTGGCTGAAGATGGTGCAAATAAAATGTTCAGACCCTTTGCTTAAATAGAATTCCAAGGGTCAACCTAAATCAGGAAACTGAAATTAGGACTGGATCTCATTTGTGTTACATTTCAGCAAACTCCAGTCATCGAGGGTGTCCTCATTCTGATCAGGAGCCCACTTGTAGGATTATCTGAGGGACCTTCTTGCCCAACATTATTCTGTCTACCCTGTTAGATCATAAGGACAGGCCCAGGTTAAGGGCCTGACCCATCTGAAATAAGAAGGTCATGGGGACCAGACCTTCTCTGCTTTGAAAGATGCTGCCCTCTTGCTTCTGGTCCTTAAGAATTCTCTCAAACCCTTCCTTTGAGATGAGATCATCATGCCTAGCTAGTGGGCATGGTACCCATCTTTTAATTCTGATTGCATTCTTATTATCTCTTTGAGGAGATGGCTTTTATCTGAGTCTTTTGTGCAGCGCCCACTGAAGAGTGACACAGAGGGGACACATAAGCTTTGCAAATAATCAAACCCCAGATAAGGCAAACCATATCTTCAGATATGTCTTCTGGAAAAATGATTCAACTGGCCTTCTCTAGTTCTTTCCTCAAAGCCTAAAAACCCTTTCCTCCATGAGGCCAGAACTGTTCTGAAGGTATCTGTTTCACCAAGGATGGATTTGCATGGCCTTCTCTCTGTCAGAAAGCCTGCCATCGCCCTTTCCTTGCTGGCTACTGAGATCATAACTGACCCTCCATTCTCAGGATCACTAATTGGCTGTCACTGACAAACCTGGCTTCTTAAAAAGCGAAAAACAATTCCTGCAGCCACCAGTTACAGAAACCCCTAATTATGTAAAATGTCAAGAGACTATGACCAACTGACAATATTGCCAAATAGGTCATTTGAGCAGCTCCTCCCCCCAGTTCCCAGAGCTGCCAAACTGACCCTCAACTGCCCAAGCTGGAAATATTCAGCTGAGCTGCTAATGAAGAGGGAAGCATCACTTCTTCTATCTTGGCTTGTTCTCAACATGCCTAGTTTTTCTCCACACGTACACTGAGATGGCACCGACTTAGCGAGACACAGACTATGCCTCCCTGTCTATAAACACACAGCAGTGAAAATCTAAAGAGAGGTTTGATTGAAATTGTTTTCATCCTACTAGCTCTGTGTCCTAACTTGGTTCTCAGTGCCACTCCTGAGATTTATTTTAGCCCGGAATCAGAATTATTCATTTTTTTTTAAATCCATATTTGAAAATATATCGCATCCACGAGAATTTTACCAGGTTTTTATCCTTGAAACAAACAAAGAATTTCTTTTTCATTAGTTTAAGAATAAAAGAGGAGGAAAAGAATCAGCATATCACATATCTGAACTAGTGTCCTTGAAGGATTGCTGGAATGCCCTCTAGAATTTATTGAGCCACCGTCTAATGATATCTGAAGATCTGGCTATCACGATGACCTAAGTGGCTTGAAACAATCCAATAATCAATATCATCCATGTGATGACACTTAAAGACATGGCCATAGGGTGATACACATGCCTATTGTATCATCTTTTTATTTGTCAGTTTTCAGGTTCATACCAGCTGTGAACTGTGATGGTGAAGAACAAAAACACCAAGCTATTAGTCAGTGACAGACTGGGAATTTGGTGTTTCTCCTCAAAATAGAGAAAGAGAACTATAATGTCCAACAAAAGACACTGAGAAGAGGCTTCTGAGAGCGTGTTGTATGGGGGAAGAGAGAGCAAGACGCTGGATACAGTGAAAGGGCTCCCTTACTATTTATCAATCAACAAACTGATCAGCAAAAGAGACAAGAATCTCTCCAAGTGTTCTTCAGTCAACACTACTGAAAGCTCCAGAGACAAATAGCAAAGTGTGGAGTACACTTCTCAACCCAGAGTAAATGGCAATAAACCACAGATACTTGAGGCTCAACGTTTGGATTTCTGTGAGTATATTGATACTCAAAGACACCTGAGCCTAAAGAGATCTTCTTTGTGAAGTCACCGCATAGGCTAAGAGCCACAGGGAGGTGTTTCACTTGATAATCCCAGAGGGATGGAGAACTGAAGGTCCAACTAAGAATTGGACCTTGAGTTGCCCTTTCCTCTGGGACTGTCAAATGAGATGCCTCCTCGTGGGTCTTAGCCTATGTGGAAGAAGAAGATCTCTTCTTACACTCAGGTGTTCTTTGAGCCCTTATAGGGGTACCCTTGGGCCCAAATGAGATGACAAGAGGGAATTATGCACTTTGAAAAAAAAGATCAAGGGGTCACTAAAAGATAACACTCAGATAAGTCAATACCGAGAAAAGATAAGGACACATTTCTTGTTCTTATGATGAATGGGCAGTGGAAAACTGAAATCAGCCTCAGTTGAGTATGATTTTTAAGATGGAGGTAAATATTATGAGCATTTCCTCCGGGGTTTGCCTTCCCCACAAACTGCAATGAGACAACAAGGGCTAGTCTTATACATACATACATTGACAGGAGGGGAGGAAACAATTATTGCAGGCCAGGAGTTTATGTAGACTAATTTTAAAAACTCATCAGTGCAAAAATCTACCTTAATCACATCTTCATCTGAGGACCGGCACTCCACAGACTCTAGAAGATCAGTGACTGTTCCATCTTCCTCCACTGAGACCACTTTGACGGGGACAGCTACAGTCTTCCCAGTGAGAATGGCAGTGTTTAAGATCTCTGCTTCCTGAAAGAGAAGAGATGTCAGTTGATTGGGAAAGACCTCTGACCTTTCCATATATAACTGAGGTGGGCAACCTTTGGCCCCATATCTCCAGGAGGCCTCCGAATCTCCTTTTTGTGGCTTCTACCTCAGCTGCTAATCATGTATTGATTATTAAGTTGCGTTTTTAACTGTTGTTAGCCACCCAGAGACATGACGATGAGATGGGCAGACATAGAAATGGAAATAAATACATCAGTAAAGCTGTAACAGGGCAAACCACGTTACGGTATGTGTGAACAAAGTTGCTGTTTTAGCCTTAACATATTCGTGCACCATCACCTTCCCTTTTCTGTTGTTTAAAAAGCATTCCGATGAACTCAAAAACTCGCTTCAGTTTTTGCAACCTGTTACGTGGTCCTCATAAAGGTGACTGCCCTGGTGTTTGGGGATTTGTTCTGATTTGATTTTCATAGACAAATTAGGAAGCCTCTCATCACTAAGCAATTACTATGAAAAGTTGAATTATACATTCAGTGTAAGTTAATTCAGACTATAAAAACCTCCAAGTGCATAAGTTCAAACGCTGTTGTTTTGCACCCTGCTGGAAAGCAAAAATAATTTGATTCCCTCATCTGAACGTACTGTTGTTTTTTACTTGGGTTAAAGGGAGGGATGGAGGGAAGAGAGAGAGAACAAACTAAATTCCTTGAATATTTTTCTCATACTTATTCAGAACCCTCAGGCCCTCAAAGAAAGCAAAAATCAAGATAGAACAAGTATGCCTTGATTTATCTGATTTTGGTGAATGGAGATTTCTGTCCCCAGAAATCCTCAAGCCTTAATTTCTCATCTAAATACTTTCCACTCTGTGGTTTTCGAGTTTGACCTGATTTTACTTGTAGAAGGGAATGTTACATAAAGGGTTGAAAAAGAAATGGTTGACTTTTCCTACCTTTTCTTGTATCAATGTGTATCAGTTTCTCTAACCTAACATGATATAGAGAAAAGGTGGGTTCTTTGAGATACTTTAGAGGAACAGAGAGCCTTTATTCTAGTTCAAAAGGAAGCTGTTGCTTTCAGACAGATACAAAGCAATAGACGTATTCTCCCAATTCTTTTCACTCAATTGCATGTTCTGTGAGCTGCTTTCTTCAGACATGTGACAGGCCTCACTTCTGAGTAAACCTGCAGAGATTTGCTGCATTAAAGGGCAAGGAAAAGTCCTCAAAATAAACCGGATGTAAATGGGTACATGGAAAAGTCCAAAAATGAACAAACACACTTAACATGTGTGCACATGGGACAGGCATATATGGAAATTCCAAGGTGCCTTCGCTGGTTTTACCATTAGAGAACAGTTGAAATGGTTTTTACAAAGTTATTGTCAGGATTCGTGAACTGCTATTTGTGATACATTTGGAATACTTTACAACTTTTCTCTAGATTAGAGAGGGGATTACTACAGGGCAGGGTAGAATTTAGGCTGCAGTAACCTGGAAACAGATTGTTAGTAAGTTCATGTCCTTAATTTTAGCTGGCTATAGGTAGAAGCGAGTTTGACGGTGTTGTCCATCTCCGAAAACAATGCAGATGGAGGTAACACCATTATGAAATGAGAGGAAACTTGGCAAGTTTTTGTATGCTTTCCAAAAAAAAGGAAGGGAAGGGAAGAGGGAAGGAAGAAGAGGAAGAGAATCACCAAGCTGAATTCATGAAAGCAGAATGATAGAGTCCTTGCGTTGGAAGGGCCATCCAGTTTGAACTCCTGCCCAAGGCAGAAATCCAAATTAAAGCATTTCACACCTATGGATGTCTCTCCAGCAAGGAGAGTCCAACTTTGGGTGATTGTTCTGCTAAAAAACACCTCTTAATTCAGAAGCTTTGTTCTAACATTCCATCAGAAGGCATAATTTCAGACGATTGCATGATTATTCTGGACTGTACTCTTCATTGGACATCCTCCCAGATTCATGACCACTTCCACTCCTCCTCTGAATCCATTCCAGTTTGTCTGAATCCTTTTTAAAGAGGGGTGTCCAGAGAGAACCAGAAGACATTTGCCCATCATTGTCTTCAAGAGAAGGCCCAAGTATTCTGTAAGAGAATGTTTGCTAACGCTTCCATAAAACATAAATCTCTCTTTAATTAGTGCGAGTGCTTGAAATATTCCTTTCACCCATCCCAGCTCTGCATGGCAGAAGAGAACTGACAAGCTCTTTGCCCTGATTAAATAGAAAGTGGGATCTTTGCAAAAAGCTCTCCCATCCTGCCTTCTAAGGTTAAGAGGACTGCAGGATCCCCCAGGGAAAATACCCTAAGAAATTATTTCATTTGCAAGACACAAAACAGAAGACTTAAGCAGAGATTTATAGGTCACTTCCCAGCATGTAAATGAATTCAAAAATCTAAGATGTTACTAATTTAACACACACAAAAAAGGGAAGGGAAGGGAAGGGAAGGGAAGGGAAGGGAAGGGAAGGGAAGGGAAGGGAAGGGAA